GTGCATTGTAGTTGTTGTTGCTGTTTCCAGTTCCTCCTCCAGCTGTGACTCCACCAGTGTGCCTTCCCAGGCCGCTTCCACTCTGGCCTATGCACAGGACCCTTGTGCTGGCCACCCTGGCTCCCACAGCCATTTGAGGAGGATGCACAGGGGTCCTGCTCCATGAGGTCCTTCTCTCTCTCCTGTTGCCCTTGTTCATTGTCTCTGTTAACGTGCCTTCTGCCCCCGTGCTTCCATTGCTGCTGTCGTCTTCTGTCCCTGCGAGCCCTGTTGCTACACAGGAGCATGATGAGCATGTCGTCTGCCTGCACTTCCTGCCACTGTCTTTGCCTCTTGTCCCTGCCCTCACCTCGCCATGCCTTCTTGTGCTGCCCGGGAGTGATGGCAGCCAGTGGAATGGCACTTCTGGGGGGACTGTTCTGGGAGTGGTCTCCCCTTTGGCTGAGGCCTGGCCCTGCAGCGCTGGCAGTGCCTCTGGCTCCATATGTAGTGTTTAGCTTGGAGGCTTGTGAGGGAGCCTTGTATCTTGCCCTCCCCATACTGACACCCTGCCGTCCCAGAGAGGTTCTTCTCATGGGAACGGAGTGACAGATTGCCTTCCCACTCTGCCTGGAGGAGCCAGCAGCCCGTGGCAGCAACATGGCGGTGCTAACAAGGACACCAGCCATCGGTCAGCAGGGGGCTCCATCCCGGGTGGGGCCCTGCAGGCCCTAGGCCAGGCCTCGCTTTAACGACTGCCAGCCCTGATTCCTGCTTCCCTCAGAACACCTTGTGGGAGGGAGGGAAAGTTGTCCTGGTCACCTGGTGGAGAATGATGCAGAGGGACTAAGTAGCTGTCACAAGCTGGCACAGAAAGGAAGCACCTTCAAAAAGCCTTTGCTGCTCTCCTGACTCAAAATCTTGCATTCAGCCCTTTATGTCAACTGTTGAAATGAATTCCTGCCTTTTTAGTGTGGAAGGTAGAAAGATAGATAGCAGGACTATCTCAGAATTAGTTTTCTATACATAGTATATTTACATAACACCAGATGTTATTTGTAGCATCCCTCTTGTTGGCTTTTTGTAGTACAGAATAAAAACTAATAAATCACAGAATCATAGAGTTGTTTGGGTTGGAAGAGACCTTAAAGATCATGTAGTTCCAATCCCGCTGCAGAAACACCTTCCACTAGACCAGGTTGCTCAAAAGGCCCACCAAAACTGGCCTTGAACACTTCCAGGGATGGGAATAAATAAATAAATAAATGTGTCTTCTGTGATGAGATAAAAAACTTTATAGAAGACAGCTAGGTTGAAGGGTTCAAGACAAGCGTGTCCTCATCCTGACCACCCAAAGATAAGGGTCGGAGTTTTGTGGCTGTGCTTGTCTCTGGAAGTTTGTACAGCCTGTATAGCTGGGAATGTGGGTATTTATTGTTTAGGCTCCCTCTCCATACACTGATACTGTCAGATCAGGCTTATCGTTTCATAGTAAATGATGCATATCCCCATTTAGACCAGAATCTCTGTCTCTCTTTTGCTGAGAGATGTCATTGAGGACCCTGAATTTTCATACTTAATGATTAGAGCATCTTTATAGTATCATGACCTGAGACATAAATCGTTCTGATGGCATTTATAGTCTACTTATTTAAATACAAAATGAAAAAAAGTAGAATATTTTAAAAAATGAATATTTTTTAAAATTTTCTATGTTGATTTAAAAAAAAACCCCAAAACAAACAAAAAAGCAGAAGCAAACCTAAATCCAAACAAACAATTCTCCCCCCAAACCAAAACCAAAAAATCAACAAAATGTTCCCTTGGTTTTATCTTGAAAGAGTTTTCCATTCCTTCAGCTTTCATTAGAGAGAAAAGGAAAATAAATTGCATAGGATTAAGTTTAACAAACAAATAAAAACAAGTCACATTTACCCTTGGTGTTAGGCTTTGGTGTGATACCAAGTGTCACTATTTATCAACACACGATGGCAGTAGTGGTCCATAAAATGATTAACTGAGGCTGTACATTAGTAAAACAAAATCTATCCTAGGCTTTTTTTTCTAGAGACAGCTACAGTTTTGCCTTATGAATATTGACAATTTCCAGGATCAGCTCCACCGAGGAATGAAAAAAAAAAAAAAAAGAGGAAGTTTCAGAGTCTTTTCTTCATCAAGGTCACCCTAGCTGTTATCTCACATACAGTTTGTGATCCCAAACCAGACTGCCACATGTATGAAGTGGCAGTCTGGTGTTTTCATTAACCATGATGACTTTTTGGAAAGCTTTGTCTATCTTATCTTGTTAACTATAGCAGTCACTCTTTGTCTGCTGGTCAGATTGTAGCACTTTGGGGACCTTCTCAAATCAAAGATTTCTTTAGCAGTCCATTTAGCTAATAATATTCTCTTATCTGTGATTAGTTTTGAGTGAGGTGTCAAAGGCCCTTACTGGAGACACTTACTGACTAAGCAAATACAACTTCTTCCAAACTGCATTGCCACTTCATTTTCAATGAGTCAAGAAAAAGTCTTTTAGATGCGTAAAAGGACTTAGTTTGATTTGATCTGATGTCATTACTTCTCTCCTTGTTGAACACTGACAGATTTAACCTTTCTGCAGTATGTCTTCATGGATTTCCTTTTGGATGAGATCTTTAATAGAAACTAGACATTTAACATCAACTCCCGTAACTTAAAGTAATTGCACAGTTCAGATTTTCATGGATCTCCCAATCAGAGTCTGGTTGGTCCTGTCACTGAGCAACTGGCAGAAATTACTCCTGAAGAGACAGGGCTCTGTCCACTTCCATGACTTTGCTATGTGTCTGGACAGGAATGGTAGAAAACAATATTGACCTATACATAACTTAAACGTGTAACCTTATCAGTGTTAGCGCTAACCTGTGTACTGTTTTCAGAAGTGGGAAGAGCATCGACTGTATTAACTCTGATAACACTCTCATGCTATAAGGGAAAACACATACACACACACAAAAGGAAAATATATACACAAAACCTGTGAACTCCCTGGCTAGATTTCCACAATTGGATAAGGTCTTCAGTAGATTAGTACAGTTGACTGCTATACAAGGGAGGGAGTTCTGGTCTATGGTTTTGGAGGTTTCCTCCAAGGCAGAGTTTAGAAAGTTAATATTCCATGCTGTATTTCTTGACTTCTGGAACACTATAGTTGATTTTTATCTACAATGTACCCTTTCCTCACTGTCCTTGATCTGAGAGTACCTTGCAAAACAGCCTTTACATTGCAGGTATGCACCATAGAATATACTTGGGAACTAGACATCCGAACACCCACATTCCTTTGTATGTTTTTGGTGCACCATACTCATTATGATTAGCAAGGTTTGCACTCTACCACTGAAATGCATCTTCTCTGAAACAGAGGTGGTATGGGCAGCAAATCTGTCACCATGGCATGGTCTCCCTTACTTCCCCTTCAAACTTTGAATTTTTGTCTTTTCCAGAGCACATGTGTGCTGCTGGGAACATGACAAGCTGGTGATGACATTAGAGGTGATGCGTGAATGGAAAAGAGAGGCTAGAATCTCTTGAATATAAAATTAAAGGCAGCTAAAGTCTGAGACTTTTGGAATTTTGCTGTTCTCCCTCTGCCTTTTAGCAAGATGGGAGAACAAGAATAATCTGTCTCTGCTCTTAGCTCTGTTTCCTTCCTCTCTGGCTTCATCGTACCACTCCATATCCTGTCCCTACTTCACCTCACCTCACCTCCTTCCTCCTAGCTCAATTAAGTCTGCTTTTAATCTGTCTGAGGTTGTTCCCTGTATGTTCACTTCTGGAAAATGACATTAAGGGGGAAGAGTTAGGTCTCTGTGAAGAATTTCTATTGCCTGGCCTGACAGAAATTCATGATGTACATTTTAAATGAGTATATATGTTCAGTTAGATGAAAGGAAACTTTGATATTGAACAAATTTCAGATTGCCTAAGTGGATTTGTTATGTTTTAAAGGGGAGGTTTTTTTCCAAAATCTTTCATCAAACCTTTATTACTGAAGATGTGCAGGTGTTATTTGGTGCTTGTCACCATAGAATAGGATAATCAAGTACCTATGTTGTATCTAGTAGGTCTTTCCTGGGGGCTTTCTCACTAGAAAAATGTATTAAATCTCCACCACAAAAGGAGGAGAGTTATTCAAACAGTCCAAAGAGAGGGAATTTTCTAATCTTTAACTGATAAGGCTCTTAAACAGTAAAGCAGAAAAGCTCAGTGAAATTGTTTCAAGTAATTGGAAATTGAGCTCCACAAGGTTTTTTGTGACTTTGGTCTCCTTAGTGTATTGAAATCCAAAATTTTGTGTGACTGTGTTAATATGCCAAGGGGAGTTTTTTTCACTTCCTAAGCAGAATAAAATTCAGTATTTCTCAAATAGGCTACTTTACATGATATTTTTATTAGCCAGATAATCTGTCAGCCAAGTTTATCAAGGATAAAGAAAACAGCTTTGGGCCTCATCAGCATTACAAAGATAAATTGTTGCTGCAAAATTATGCATAAATAGTTTATGTGAGGGTAATCTGATACAAATTTAAGCCCTATATTTCACTATTAATTCGAGGAGAGATTCTGTGTCCTAAAGAACAAATGTGGTTTTAAATATTGTTAGTACTTTTTAAAAATGAAGGCATCTTTAAAGAAAGAAGTAGAAAAATGGACGTGTCTCTGGGAGAAAAATATTTAATTAAAATAAAAAGCAATAAATATTTAATTGTGTACACAAATTTTATTTTTATTTCTTTATTTACCATGTAATAGTTAAACTTTAATATATAAAATTATTTAATTTTAGAATTCACACATAATTCAGCATAAAAATTGGCATTTACATTGTTTTTGTAGTAAAATATTTGTCTTGATATTGATAAATAACTTGCAGTTGGGTAAATAATGGATTTGTCTTCTAGAATTTAATAATCTTCTTTGTATCATAATCATTAATTTAAATATTAACAGAAATATTCCCCAAATCAATGAGATTTGAAAAAATCATCTTAGTTTAACAGTGAGTTAATGATTTGTCTTTTGAGATTCTGGTAGCATATGACAGTATAGGCAGCTGTCAAAGCTTAGATGAGGTTACCAACTGGCAAACGGGGTAGACACATATATGCATAAGGTGTTTTGCTCAGGTTAATGGGATTGCCATCCAGTCTGATGTCTTCAAGAGCCCTACGTACATAAGTAAAATCTCTCATTTTGCAGAAAGTATCTTCATGTATCTCTTGAATATTGTTGTTCTAAAGGAAAAAAAAAAAAGAAGCTATCAAAATAGTTGCCTGAAAGTAATTTTTAACTCTGAAGACCATTTATGATGTATTTTTGGTGCCTAGAGAGATACTTGTTTGAACTCAATGACCCAGATTGTGGTGACAAGTCATCAACAAAGAAATCTTCCAAATGGGGAAAATTTCTTGGCCAATGCAAAGCTTCAAAACTAGGTAACTCAAACCATGTAGCAGAGACAGGCTTTGCAGTAGGGGCCTGGTAGAAGTATAGAGAATTTTCCTTTCTAGATCATATTGAAGAGACTTATTAAGACAAATTGGAACCAGCGTAAGCCAGTCCAAAAATCACAGAAACAGAATCATCATCCTGACCACTTGATGTACCTGCAAAGGCACAAATCTGAAATTTGATCTGTGACAAATTTCTTTCCTGCAGGCCCTCTCACAATAGTTTACCTCATATCTGTATATATACTGGGAAAATTGAATGCTTTGGGTTTTATTCTTTTGATTTAAATTCCTCTCATATGCCTTACATTCACTGATCTTTTGTTCTTGAAGAGAACCATTTTCAACAATGAATTGCTAGAATACAATATTATCAGGAAATTGGGACTAAAAGGTTCATCTCCTAAAATAAGGGATGTCTGAAAGTTCTTCTCCTCTCCATTCCTTTGCTAGTCAGAAATTAGTGTGGAAAAAGTACAGCTCACTTTTTTTCTGTAGCACATATCACTGAATATTAATTTACAGTCACAAACAGGAGAAAAAAAGATCAGCTAACAGGCTTTACTTAGATTTACTTATTGAAAGATAAGGTTTAAATTATATGTGGTGCATTAGTTTGCTTATTAAAAGGGTTTTTTTTCTGCATTATGTAACATCTGATAATCCAAACTGTGCATTGATACAATAGGAGATAAAGGGAAAGAAGCAGAGCTGGAAAAGGTAAAAAGGAAGAATTCAGAAAGAAAGTGCTAGATAAAAGAATTGCAGAAAGGTGATGGATGGGATGTTCCAGCATAGTCAAATGGAAACATTTGGCTGAAAAATGTTAACTGGAAATAACCTTTACTAAGAATAAAATGCACTGAATATAAATACAATCAATATGTAAAATTACTTCCTCTGTGTGTCTGAAAGTATTCCCTTTGGAAGATTTGTATAAGCAGTGTGAGGGATTTCTGTCATTATTGAAGTCTCTTAGACTAATGATGGTCTTGACAACTGTGAACATAACTTTAACTTGTACTAATAATAAGTCTAGAATTTAATGTTTGAAAAATATTGTATTACAAATTCTAAAAATTAATGCTTAGCTGAGCTAAATTTTACTTGCTTGAAAGACTGCATTCACTAATTAATTTTATGTTTTCCATATCTTGTTTAGTCAAGTAAGAACACTTTTGGATAAACAGAAGAAACAGTACATGGCAATAATTGCCTTTCCAGTTTTACTATTTGAGCCACTACTTTTGTAGCCTACCTGAAGATGAAGAGCTTGGAGGCTTTCAGGGAGCGGCAAGGGAATATGATCCAAGTTATTGTCAGTGATGTAAAGATGCTGCAGTTCATTCAGATCCTGGAGGATGAAGGAAAAAGGTAGGGGGAAATGACAGATATGTGTGAAAATCTCTAGCAAGTAAGTTTGAAATCTATCACTGCAATGAGCATGGCTGGATAGTAACACATTTTGTTTTAGCAGGATAGGGGTGAAAAGGCATAAATTCAAAGACAGTAATGAATTTGATTTGCATATGTTGAGAATGTTTCTGTTAAGAATTGGGTGTCTGGATTAAATTGAAGGGGGGAAATGTTTCTGAAATATCTACAGACAATAATTAGAGATGTAATTTCAATGATTATGTTTTAAAGAGATAATATCGCCCCTTATGGTCATTATATAGAAGGGCTTCTTGTTCTGTCTGCTTTCTTTTGTGAGAAGCTTACTCAATTTTGCAGAAGTGTTTTGGTGTTGAAGCAAATAAAAACTGCAAAAGAAATTCCTGAGCTAAAAATACATTTCTCATTCCATTTCAAAAGGTAAATAATATTCTCCCTTGACTTAGTGGATGAACAAGTGGCAGGCACCATAGTTAGGCTGCTCAGTATCATCTTTGAAAGGTCTTTGAAAGGAGAGGTGACTGAGGACTGGAGGTAAGCCAGTGTTACCCTCATCTTCAAAAAGGGCAAGATGGAGAATCCAGAGAATTACCAGCCAATCAGCCTCACCTCAAGCCCTGGAGAGGTGATGGACCGCCTCATTCTAGAGGCCATCTCTATCCACGTGGATTACAAGAAGGTGATCAGGAGTAGTCAGCATGGATTCCCTAAAGGTAAATGTTTAACCAACTGGATTGCCTTCTAAAATGAAACAACTACCAGGATAGATGAGGGGAGAGCATTGGATAATGCATACCTTGACTTCAGTAAGGCTTTCGACATTGTCTCTCGCAACATACTCAGAGGTAAACTCAGGAAGTATGGACTGGATGGGTGGTGGATTGATAACTGACTGAATGGCAGATCCAAAAGGGTCATAATCTATAGCATAGGGTCTAGTGGAAGGCCTGTCTAACTTATTCATTAATGACTTGGATGGAGGAGCAGATGCCTTCTCAGCAAGTTCATTGACAGCAAAAATCTGGAAAGGGTGACCAACACCCCAGAGTGCTGTGCAGTCATTCAGAAGGACCTCAACAGGCTGGAGAGATAGGCAGAGAGGAACCACCTGAAATTCAACAAAGGCAGGTGCAGGGTCCTGCACCTGGTGAAGAATAACCCCTCACACCAGCACAGGCTGGGGGACAATTTGCTGGAAAGCAGCTCTGTGAAAAAGGAACTGAGGGTCCTGGTGGACAACAAGCTGTCCACAAGCCAGCAGTGTGCCCCTGTGGCCAAGTAGGCCAATGGTATTGCTGGGTACATTAGGAAAAGCATTGCAAGCAGGTCGAAGTAGGTCATCCTGCCCCTCTACTCAGCCCTAATGTGGCCGCATCTGGAGTGCTACATCCAGTTCTGGGCTCTTCAGTACCAGAGAGACATGGAGCTTCTGGAGCGGGTCCAGTGGAGTGTGACACAGATGATTAAGGGACTGGACCATCTCTCTTATGAGGACAGGCTGCTCTTCTGACCACATCCTGGAGATAGGAAAAAAAGATTTTCCCATTCAACCCAGACTTACTTTGAATGCCTCATTACGTATTCCTTTGTGACCAAGCCTGTTCTTACTAACATCAAGGAATGTTAAGGTAGATGGTAACTCAGGGAGTTGCCTTATTCTGTTGTCACGGAGCACCAGCTCCCGAAGTTGGAGCAATCTTCGGAAGGCATCCTTATGAATGTCTGATATAAAGTTTGCAGTCAAATCAATCCTTTTTAAGTTGTCTGGCAGAGAAATAAGACACAAGAAGCAGGTAAGAATGTATTTCCTGAAATTTCAGAAAAAGAAAAAGGCAAATGGGTTATTTAAATTACAGGTAAAGTGTCTTGAATCATATTCATTCCTGGCCCACTGTGTGACAGTGTTCTCAGTATATAATGCAATAATACGTATTTGAACAGTTCTCCTAAGGAGGGGAACCTATGTCTCCTTCTCATCCTGTTTTGAACTTCCTGTGTCATTCTTTATATATCTTCCAGTGAAAGACTTCAAAGTTAACAGTTTTAAGGTTTCTGTGTGCTCTGGAAATCTTTTCAATTACTATATTTTGAAAAAAATAACACATAAAGTGAAATAAACATTTTCTCTACTGCCTTGTTCCACATTTTTCTTTATTTTAACATTTTCCTATATGTAAGATATTTGTACACTCAAGCACTTTTCTAATTAAAAACCAAAAAAAATTAAATTGAACATTTGGACTTTTTTTTCTACCTATCTAAAGATGATTGTAAGTAACAGCAAAACAATTGATGACCATTGCTATTTCTAAAAATTCAAATATTTGACAGAGAATCTGCGTTTAAAGTATTGACCTTTATGCTCCAAAGTAACAAACTGCTTTTCTGTGTGTGCATTTGTGTGTAAAATTCTACAATCATCAAACATTATAGAAAAATCTATCACTGTGTTTTAGATTAGCATAAGCCAGAAATAGTAGAAATTAAAGCTAGTTGCAACAATACTACTGTCCATACTTAAGTTAGCAAAGTCATTTCTGCTGATCTTCCTGATTCTGTTGTAGCGTGAATAGAAATACATGGTTTTCTTAGGCAATGGTGGAACAGCATCAAGCTCGCGATCGTCACAGTAAACTGTAGTTCCTAGGCATGTACACAAAAGGCAAGTGGGAAGACCTGTGAAGGAATTTAAAAGAAAACAGTTTGTTAGAAAGGAAATGTACAAAAATTATATGTAAATTACTGCAATGAAATGCTCACCTAAGCACATAACAATTAGATTTTGTCTATAGTAAAGTTCACTCCCTTTACATTTTGATCACCGCATCATATAATTGCAACAATGAAGTTATTAAATTCTTAAAATTTATTTTTCTAATTATGCCTAGAAGAAAAATTAACTTGTTCTAATACAATGTTTCTCAGACTATAACCGTAGAATGTTTGGTGACAGCAACCAGCCAAAGGTCAGTTTCCCTCCTCCTAAGCTGGCAAGTGTGTACTTCCCTCTAGACAGAGGACTCAGAGCTAATGACTGAACCTTGTTACGATTCCTGTTTTGTTCTCTAAATAGTACTTCTGAATATTTTGCAGGGAAATTAGTATTTTCCTGCAGAGCTATGGAGAAGAACCTCAGTGTCCTTTGCATGTTGTTTAATTACGTTTTCTGATTCAGTCATGAAAAATCTCTCTCAGTCTGAGTTAAGGGAACTTGGAGACCCTGTTAACAAAATATTTGGTTACCACCACAAGTCTGTGAAAATGAAAAATGAAGCCATTTCATCTCAATCACAACACTGCATGAATACTATGAATTCAGAAGTTTCTTTTGATGGTACTATTCAAATTTTGTGAGATCTATGAGACTGAGTTTTGATACATCTTTTCTTTGATTATGGGTATAAAACAGCATATCTATTTATCAGCTTTTAATCCCATAGAAATACTTTTCTGTTTCATGTTTTCCTCCTCCTTGTAGCAGATGGCTGGTTATTTGTTCTGTTTACTTACAGAATAGTAGCATAATTCATGAGTATGAAAATGTTTCTCTTGCATATTAGTTTTTTCTCCAGATCAGTTGTGGGTACATGACAGAGTGATGCCTTAATCCATATTAACTACCCATAGCTGATTCAGGTGACTCTTCAAGCAAGATTAAAGAATAAATAACTAGAGTGCCCTTTTATTTGAGAATCTCTACTTGGACATCCAGGAATAACATTTATGGAGAGATAAGACTCTTTTCATGCTTTCCCTAACTTTCTTCACAGGACAGCTTACTTTGGCTACAAGGAGCAAGCCTGACAGAGGGAAAAAAAAATAAATTGTCACATGTTGAAATATTCCAGCAAATCTAGGCCTAAATGAATGTAGAGTTAAGAATGGTTGACATTTTTTCATAATATTGTAACATAGTACAGGAAAAGGGTTTCCTCTTCTGTCCTATTTTTGATCTTGGAAGAGTGGTATTTGTCACCTATGGATGGTGCAACTGAAAAAGAACAGAACGAGGGGAAGGATTCAAAAAGACATCAAAAAGAAAAATGAACTTGGCTTGGTGTTCCTGAGCCTTGTAGTCTTCTATTTAGTATCAGGCCAACAACAGCATCAGGCCAACAATGGCAACAACATCTGACAGGAAAATATGTTGCTAAAAAAAAAAAAGAAGACACAAAAGCAATCTGACTTGACATGTTACAGCCTTGAGCCTCCCACGTGTGTCTTTAGTTAAAACGCTAGCTGGTTTGCATCCAGTGCTTGAAAATGTTGACACATACAGAATTCATGCTATATAATACTTACATGACATTTTGTAACATCCTGTAGTTTTCAAAATTGAAAAAAAAAGTGGGCTTTTTTTAATTTTTCTGAAATCTCCTGGGAAATTCTTATTCAATTTTTATTTGTTTTGACCTTGCCTGCTCAAGGCTTACTTGTAATATGTATAAAAATAAGACTATGAATTATTAACTCCACTGAACACACAATTTTGGAAATATGAACTCTGGAGTTTTGGTTTGGGGTTTTTTGAAGTTTGTTCATTTTTGGGTTTTTTTATATATAATTTCTTCTATTGCACTCAGCTGCAGTGTTAGGCATAGTAAAAAGTGGAATTTTTCTGTCTTTGTATGTTGATCACCATACAACACAAAGATCCATCACAGCAATGGACAACCTGGTGAGCTTCAGCTACAAGAGTTTAGAGGACCTTCTGACAAATGTCAATTATTAGCACTGCAAAGTTTGTGTGGGAGAAGGACAGATTATGTTTTGAAATTTTAATTCCCCTGCAAGATGTATGAAGTTCTTATTTTATTATACATAGCCAGAAGAAATGAAAATCATCTTTACCCCAAATTCTAAATAGTTCCCTTTCCTTAAGTTTAACAGTTTCTAGTTTTCATGGCAAAAAATTCTTCAACATTTTAATTATACGTTGTATGACCATATTTATAAAAAAAATGTAAAAATCATTATAAAACAAAGATAGTTGATAATGACATTTAAATCTAAGACAGAAAACCAAGTACTGGTAGAATTTGCTAACCATCAGCAAATTTTTAAGTTGTAAATCCTCATTGACACAGTTGTTTTCATAGTGAAATAGTATGGAAACATTTTGACTAGGCACTATAAGACTTAGAGCACTCAAGATAGGCATGTTATATCTTTCTTCATTAAGTGAAGTACAGAAATTATGAACTTCCTCTTCAGCAAAAAAGGTAGACATTCATAAGCAAATAAACTGTGCTTACTCAAAATCAAAGCTACACACATAAAACTCACTGCTCTTTCTTACTAACCATCTTGAGTTTGGAGTCCAAGAACCCCAGATCCCTGTGCTGAAGACCCATCAATTAATTTTAGTGTTGATGCTTCGTCCTCAGTTTCTTCTGTCAATGGTGCAGAAGAATAAATCTCTTGAATTATAGAAGGTAGTGCTGTCCCAGTCTCGGCCTAGAAAAAATGAAGAGAAAATCTTAGTATTTACTTCCACTGGCAACTGTTTCTCTTCCAGTTATCCATATTCTCCCACTAGAGGTCACATATTTTCTGAGATTTAGTGCTTGAGCTGCATTTTATTCAACAGCTTTAATTCTGATGATGTATAAACAATTCATGAAAATCCAACATACTTATTCACTTTTTATCTCAGTGTTTTGAATGTTTTTTTAATGCACATATGCATATACTTCATTAGTGAGAATATAGTGAAAATATATACTAACAAAATTATTTTTCCACACTTAAAGATAAAAATTGATATACTTTGTGTGACAAATGAAAATTTGCTGTGAAACATCAAAAAGATGCAAGTCGTTTATCATAAAATTGTAAATTGTACCAACATAAATCTAAATCTGATATAGCTGTGCAGGCTCTCTTTTAAGAACACTAACATGCTTTAAAAATCTTATTGAAGATTTTTCAACTCTGACTTCCCATGCTACCTTTAATATGTTGGCAGTGTTTTTGTCACTTTTTTTTTCTAAATCCAAATACCAAAAGACTCTGGTTAGTTTCAGTCATCATTAGCTGTATTATGTGGTATGAAAAATTGAATATATATAAAAATATTACATAAAATCTTGATTTTAAAAAAACTATAAAAGTTGTAAGATCCTTGCATGGAACTACAAACCTTTTTTGTTGTCCTGTACTCAAAATAATTAGTCAAACCAGTAAATTTTGTCATTCTGTTGACTTTCCCATGTGAAAAATTCAGAATAAAAATTAAGATGTAACGATTTTCTTGCATCACATCACTGCTCATAAAAAGAGTGTTGCAAACTTGCCAGGCTTGTTGCAAAGAGGCCTATGTGTGCAAAGAGACAGAGTGGTTTTCAATAATCACCCAGACATCAAGAATCCACTCTAGTTGTGTCACCTTTGCAAGTTACTTTACCTCTGTATCTTTATTTCCACATGTTTAATAACATTGTTTAACCATGCCAGAGCCTCTTTTGAAAATCCACTTTATTCTTTAAATCCAAGACAGTCACTTAGTGTCCTTATAGGGCTTTGCATGTTTGAGGTACTGTTTAAAATTTAGGTATAATATCTACTCCTGTGGGTGCTGCACCCCTGCACTTTGCTTTTTCTAAGGCATGACCAAATACAGAAATATTGTCACAGTATCATTATCCCAAGTGAGAAGGCACCAAAGCTTAAAATTCTGCAGGTTTCTAGTACAACACCACCATAAAAATATTGAATCCTGAGTCTTTCACTTAACCAAGCATATCCTTTTTTGAGAACATCCTGCATCTACTGTGGGATTTGCTGTGTCCGTGGAGAACAAGTTGTTGAAGTCAATCACAGTACTGTTTTTAATTCTAATTTTAAAAAACAGGTAAAAAATAGTTGTATCTAAACTGACCAAGTGGTTAGGATTTTTTTAAATTGTATTTTCTATGTCAACTATACAAGTTAAAGGAACTAACACATCTGAGATACGCGTCCCAAGCACAAGCAAAGCTTTTGCTGTATTCTGATCCCTATTTGAATCTCCTTGTATGTGTATATATATTTCAGATGTGACCAGCAGGTCAAGGAGGTGATGCTGTCCCTCTCTCATGAGACCCCACCTGGAGTACTGCATCCAGCTCTGGGGTCCCCAGCACAGAACATGGGCCTGTGGGAGTAAGTCCAGAGAAGGGCCCAGAAGCTGAATACAGGCTGAGAGAGTTGGAGTTGTTCAGCCTGGAGAAGAGAAGGCTCCGGGAAGATCTTGTAGCAGCTTTTCAGTATGTAAAGGGGGCTTACAAAGAAGGAGAGAGGCCTTTTACAAGGACATGTAGTGACAGAACAAGGGGGAATGACTTGAAGCTGAATGTTTTAGATATTATGAAGAAATTCTTTATTGTGAGGGTGGTGAGGCAATGGAAATGGTTGCCCAGAGAAGTTGTGGATGTCTTATCCCTGGAAGTGTCCAAGGCCAGATTGGGTGGGGCTTTGAGCCACCTGGTCTAGTCAAAGGTGTCCCTGACAATGGGGTCCTTCAAACTCCCTTTCAAATCATTCTATGATCTATGAAAGTTTTTGGAAGAAAATACTTTACACTTCATAATAGACTCACTGGATCTTGCAGCGTAGCTATATATTAATTACAAGCAGTATTAAACATTATGATCATGGACTGCTGGAGAACATCCAAACAACTACCTAAAATCTAATTTTTTGCACAGAAACTATTTGGTTTAAGTTATATAATAGCCATAGGTTCAAATATTTTCCATCACTGAGTTTCACTGAAGACAGAGAGTGTGGAAGCAATGAGAAAGCAGTAAGCACTGTGAACCTCACAGGCTCAGATTTTGACTAAGCACAATTCAGGTTCTCTTATATTCTTTAGTTGTATTCCAATACATCACAAATACTAGTACTAATTAGAGTATAAAAATGCCCAGATACAGTTCAAGGGTCATAATTTTGCAAAATGCAAGGTGATCAAGCGAGCAAAATGACCTTCAGATGAACTATGACTGAGTAACTTGAATTGATATAAGTAAGAGTAAGGATGTATCTTGTTTTGTGCAGACAAATACACAGTGTTCCCATCTGCAGCACTGACAGTAGACAGCTTAACCAGGAATGGACTTGGGGACAAATCAAAAGAAGACTTTGGGAACAAAGGAAATGGGATAGCTGTTCTCTGAATGGAGGAAGTCCGGAGGGAGAGAGATGCATTCCAGACTTCTATTGACCCAGGTTAGTACTGCACTAAAGTTCTTGCGTATGGTGTCTACTTCACCAGTTTTGTGGAAATCAGATAATAGTCCCTCTCCTGAAATTTGGAATAAAATCTGGAGATTTTGAGACCTGTTAGTGGCTTTATATACAGCTTTTGTGGCAGTTCTACTGAAAATAACATTTTGGAGAAGAGTATTTTCAAGACAGAGTTTGTAAATAGGCTTCAGACCATAGATAATTTTCACTTGTTATGGGATTTGGGTCATCTACCCTGACTGCCATCTCTCTGAATATTTGAGGGCATACTTTATGGAACTTACTATCTTGGGATTTGTGATTTACTTTATACTTTCTGAGGTGTTCTTTGTTGATTAATCACTGTAGTTGTTGGGTACCAAAGCAGAGGTATTAAATCCTAGTATTTCTTTTTCTAGACTGTTATCTCTCTCTTACTGTAGGATGTTATCTAGTTTTGCAGATGCACAGTTGAAAGTCTACCAGTAGTTTCCTTGCCATTGCACTAAGTCTGGGTTCTAGGGAAATTCTTCCAAGTAGTTAGTATTACCTATTCAGTCTCCTACACCAGTTGTGACAGTCATAAAAAAATAAAAATTATTGCAGTTAACTTAATGATGTTGCCATTTTTATACTGGTAACAGAGTAGGAGTTCACTGATATGTGTATTACATACCAACCCCAGAGCATGAGAAGTATTCTCTTGCTATTTACATATCTTGGACTTGAACCAGTAACCTAAAGGTAAAAGTCTGTTTCCCATTATTGGTTATCTGATCCATGCAGTTTTCTATCTTTTATAATCTTGATAAATCACGCAAGACTGTAACAGGACAGATGTCTCTTGGACTGCACACTGTACAGAATGATCCCTCGTCTTCCAGATGTTTGTTTATTTTTGGCAACATGCACTTTAATAAAAAAAAATTGAAACAGAAATGATTAAGTATCACCTAATGGCATTATTTTCCATAGGGGTTTTGGAGGGGGTTCAGTTGAGGGGGGTGGAGTTGTATTTCCTTTGCTACTTCAAGTAATATTCTTTATGAAAAATCACAAAGCAGGAAAAACTTTGTTGAGAAAATGCAATAAAGTATCTTTCTCTTTGACAATAGTTGCAAGTCTTCAAATAATAATCAGCCTTTCAAGACAGATTTAATACAGAGCATAAGAAAAAAATTGAAAGAGTATGATATCACCTGTCTTTAGCCCTCTAACTATGTGGCTAATAGTTACCCTACTCTGTCTTTGGAATCAGTCAAGAGCCTTGGACAATACCAGTGCAGAATATTAGCCACAGAGCATGCCAAACGAGAATGATATCTTCCTAAGTTTGTATGGAGTATCTATTTTTTCCCCATCCTATATTTATCCAATGTGACTCCAGTTTCAAATGAAATGCTTAGTGTGAATGGCCAATTTAGAGGCACTTTCAGACCTGGAAGTTCTGAAAGTCAAGAACACAGAAATCAGAATGTATCAGTGGGCAATAAAATGCAATTGGTAAAAGCCAACTCCCAAATTACCATCCATAGGCTGAACAATAAGTCCGTACTATCATCCTTTCACAGTCAGTACAAAATGAGACAAAACTTCTGAAAAGCAGTGCCTATTTCTGGCCACAGATGCTCCTTTTAGGGTGAGGCCTTTAGGTATCTATCTCTCACCACTGACTGTAAAGAAGGCAAGGCAAATGAAAGGTTAGAAATGGCTCAAGAGTCTGAGCTGTGAGGGAAAAAAAAATAATATGAAAGAATACCTGTAGGCTAGGAGTCAGTAGGACTGGAACAGAACAGAAATGTAGATAAGAGTAACCTATGAGGATTATAGACCCACACAATCTATGCAAAGAAATAAAATACAGAAAATAAATAAAGAGGCAAGCAACAAGACTGGAAACCATCAGATGCTACCTTTTTTTTTCTGAGGTGATGTAATTCCATTTGTACATGTTTTGTCTGTTTAATGTCTGCACCTTTAGGATCAAAGTTGATGTATAACATGTGATAAGTTTAAATCCACAGGAGAATCTGAAGTGTGTGCTGTTTCAGTGTTTCTTTTACCGCAAAAAATACACTTGAAAACACAAACAAAAATTCAAAACTTAAAAAGAAGCATGAACTTGAAGGGACAGTTGTTTCACACACCGACCCATTGAAAGGAACTAGTTTCCCCCACAGCTATTCTAAAGCTACCAAAAGCTTACAAGCATATATCTAATTATGGCAGAGGTTATTCATAGAATCACA